AGATTTTTTAATTTAGACATTTAGATAAGCGAGACAAAAATGATCCCTGACCAACACGAAGGGTTTTTTTTTAGATTAGCTTTTTACTTCTACTTAATTTTAGTTGTTATTATGGATATAATTTTAATTTTTATTCTAGCTTCTATGTACACTTATGTACTATTGGTTTAATATGCAATGTTGCAATGTCAAAAATAACAAAAGAGTATCATCCCTATCAAAAAATTCGACTATGAGGGCAAATACGTATCATATTCGCTACGAAAGATGGTATACAAACAAAAACGATCTTAAGCGGCCGCCGCAACCGCAAGTCTTTTATTACCTGACCGTTTTTGCAAATTTGACCCTTCACGACAGAGCTTCATTATTTTACTAATTAAAAATAAACGATCCATCCGATTATAGTTTTTGAAAAAGTAGCTGATTCGTTGATCTTCAATGCATATGAGTTATAAAAAGCATTTTTTTGATAAACCAAATAGTTTTCAAGTTACAGCGAGGTAAACGATAACATAAAAATGAGTTTTCAGGGCAAGCGTGTATTCGTTAAAGATATAAAAGCATTATGCGGTGTGTTTTTAAAATGAAAAAAAAAAAAATTTCTAATAAAAATATTAAAAAGCGGTTTTGTCAGTTTAATGGCTGTATGTTGTAGATAACAACAACATAATAATATTTTTTTGTCATTTTTATTATAAAATTCACTCCCACCATCCCCTGCACCATACGATTTTTGTACGACCAGTTGGTTTTGCATTCTTATGGACGGTGTAAAATTGCTTATGTTATTTGCTTATGTTATTTATTTATTTATGTTTTTAAAATAGGAAAATAATCACTCAGACCAGCCTGTAGAACTCCAGAGTTTTTGATTAAAGTTACATCAAAAACACAAATGTAATCTAGCCATTTTAATGAAGTTTTTGTAGTTCTCGTAATTTTTGTAAGGTTCAGAGGGTTCAAATGAATTTTTTAGGGGTCGAACTATTATAAAATAATTTTTTAAAAATGTGTCTGGATTGTTAGGCCTTTAAAATTGCTTAAACAGCAAATACCCCTTAGCCTACGAATTCATTATAAGAGGCAAAAATACATATAAAAACAATTTCAGTTTGAAATGTTTGTTTGCGTTTTGTTACGTTGACGCAATCAAATGAATATCAATATTTTTGATCGCATTATTTAAAAGGAAGTTTGATTTAAGATTCTAAAATTTGTAAAATTTCTTCCTAAAATTTTTATCTTGACATCAATTTTTAGAACTTTATGCCTCTTTCCAAAAAAGTATTTTGAACTTTTTATTTAGCTTACTAGCGGCTGCTATTTAATAAAAGTAAGTTCTTTTTAGTTATGAAAAAATTAAATATATCCGAAACAATACCATATGTTATAAAAGATTTGTTACTGTTATGTAATTTTTTCATGAAGCAAAAGTTTACATCTTTTTAAAAACTATGCAGATCATCAAAAAGTGAGCCCCTTGCAAGTGACGATGCGGCTACAAGAAAATTAAGTTTAAACGCACCCGAAGCCATTGATGACATGCAACGGATTTAATTTTTTATGAACTTGTTTCATTTATTCAGCGAAATTTATATATACCAGAAGCTCTTTGGTCATCGTGACTTCCCGAATATATAATCTAACTATAAGGCACACCTTGTCACCTAATTATTTTTCTGTCTTTAATAATAATAAATTACTTTTATTATAGAAAATAAACAAATTTAATTTTCCAAATTTTCTTCCGCTTGTTCGCCTTGACAAGTTAATTTATACACAAAAGGTGCTTAGGCACATTAACGTCAAGGAAATAAACGAATTAAAATGAAAACATAAAATAAAGAGTAAGAAGCCTGAAATATCGTAGAATTCGCGAGATCAGTTAAATAGGTAAATGCTGATAAAGGTTATTTTCAGGCATTGTTTATCTGTATTGGTTCATTTTCAGTTCTAATATATACTAGAGTTTAATTAAATATATTACTGCTCTTTTATTAAAGAATGAAATAATTTTGTTTAAAGGTAAATTAATTTTTTCATTGTAGTATTTTAGCCGGAAATTTGTTTACTATGTTACTATGTTTACAATTATATAAGAGGAGGATCTTTCGAATAGTTCAAAATAGTGATATGATATAGCCCGAAAACGACGGTTTGACGTATATACATCTATGCTAAAATGCAGTATTTGCTGCAAATACTTTGGAATATTGTTTTTTATAATTATGAAAAATAAGCTCGCAGAGTGCAAATATCGTGTAAGATGTTCGGATACCTTATGTTAGTCTTGGGCAATAGTTCTGTAATCGCTGAACTCTCACTCACAGCAATTTACTTGTCACGGGACGACTGAAAGCCCACAAGACTTTTTTCTACATGTGAATGAATTTGATGCTTTATGAAGTTTTTCAAGATTGTGGACAGAGTTTGCAAAATGTTTAGTGGAGTTGATTAAAAGAGTCTGAGTTGTTTGCTTTATTTAATAAACGCTGGAACTTAACATAAAGGAGCAAGCCATTGAAGCAGTAGTGCATCACACTAAAACGGAAACGTCCAACTATTTATCCTTTGGTCCGCCAGGAATGACGAAGATTTGCCAAAATATTAAAATGGAAATAATTGGCATACAGAATGCAGAATTTAAAAATTAAGGATTACAAAAAGCAAATAATTTATATTTTTTAACTAATCTTCTTGTCTCCAGCGAAACATGTAATGCCAGCAAAGAAACGGAAATACTTAATATTTGTCAAGCGATCATCTTTGCGAGTTCAAATGGAAAAAAATATTTATATATATAAAAAACTTATTGAAACCATGCACGTTTGTGGTCACTCAATATCTTACATGGATAAGCGTCGCTCAAGAAGAAATTCAAATTTATTTAGAAAGCGATTACATTACTGTCTCTAGACAATTGACGATCCTTAATGAGTTGGAAAATTTCACATGTACTGATAACCGAAGCAATGTTACAAGAGGATACCTCAGTTCTAAACACCTGTCGATGTAAAAAAAGGCAGAGACATTCAATTTTCTGTTAAATAAGATTTTTTAATTTAGGCAAAACATTTCAGGCGTAACGAACCATTATGTTCCCGTAAAAGAAAATTTATGAAATGTATTGGTTCCTGTAAATGTGTGAAATCAATATGTAGCAATAAGCGAGACAAAAATGATCCCTGACTAACACTAAATATCTCTATTATATCGGACATTGAAACAAATTCAGACTGAATGAAGAGTAAAAAACGTAATGACAATTTTCTTTATAAATCAAAAACCTATTATTTTTGCCGAAGATATACGCTAATATTGGATTGGAATGGGAAGAAGGATTTTTTTTTTAATATTAACTTTTTACTTTTACTTAATTTTAGGTGTTATCATAGATATAATTTTAGTTTTTATTCTAGCTTCTATGTACACTTATGTATTATTAGTTTAATATGAAGTGTTGCCAATAAAATATAATACAAATAATTAATAATGTCATATATAATAAAACAATGTAACAAGTAATTAATCAAAAAGTTCAACTATGACAAAAATACGTGTATCATATTTGCTACGAAAGAGGGTCTACAAGCAAAAACGATCCTAAGCGCTCTCCGCAACCGCTAAATCGTTTATTGCCTGACCGTCCTCGCAAATCTGACCCTTTCTAGCTGCTTCGCTGGTAGTCTTGATATTGACGACATAGCTTTACATTCTGATAATTAAAAAAAAAACGGTCCATCCGATTGGGGTTTTTGAAAAAGTAACAGATTCCAAATAGTTTTCATGTTACACCGAGGTAAACGATAAACTAAAAATGACTTTTGAGGGCAAGCGTTTATTCGTGTGTGTAACTAATACCTCGACCAATAAAAAAGAGAGTTTTTAATTATACTCATCCTTTTTATTTAGTTTTAGATAATAAAAATTTAAATAAAACAAAATAATACTTAAAAAATATTAAAAAAGGTTTGTGACTATTCTGACTACTCAGTCAGAATTATTACTGTTCGGTCGTATTCTCATAATATCTTAGCAAAAGTTGACATCTTTTTAAAAAATATGTAGCTCCTCCAAAACTAAATCCGCGGCACGTCACAAAGCGACCGCCAGCAAATTAAATTTAAACGCACTCGGAGCCATTCGTGACTTGCAAACGTGGAACGGATTTAGTTTTGGGTGAACCACGATTGCAATATCGAGCGAATTCTATATACAGTCGAAACTCTTTACTCATTTTGACTTCCTTAATATACAGTAATAAATAGTAAAACATACCTTGTCACTTCTTGTATATATGTGAAACTTGGCATCATCGCGGACTCGTATATGGCAGAAGTGAGAAAGAGTGTCTGATGTCCAATAATTTTAAAAAGAAAAATAATTACCCCTTTTATGCGAAACCATATATTTAAGCCCCCCTCATCATATATACATCGAAAGTTTTATAATATACGTCCCGAAAATAGTTGATGTTAGGCCGCCCGCTTCATGTAGCGGAAGTCCCAACTTAACAAGTATCAATATATATATATATATATATATATATATATATATATATATATATATATATATATATATATATATATATATATATATATATATATATATATATATATATATATATATATATATATATATATATATATATATATATATATATATATATAAATACATGCTTTCAATTTGAAATATCTCTTATTTGTTTTAGATTATTGAAAAGACATATACAGGCTGCTCCTTAAAAAGTATATAGGTTTAGTTTATATTTCAAAATTTGTGAGTTTTAGCAGGAAACCGACTACACCAATAGATTCTTAGTAAAAACTCCTATACAAACCTCCACAACCGAACCACTCGTGCCAAGGATTACTGGAGCTGATGTCTTATAGTGACACTTGGCGCAAATGAGTTCATTTTTTTTAAAACTTTGTTGAAGTCAGCCGCCTTAAAACTGCTACTTGCCATTCATACATTAAAATGATTTTATTTTCTAGTATGCTGAACTGGACACTGAGTAACTCATCGGTGTTGGAATCTACATCTCATGCCGTCACAATTTACTCAAAGCTCTCAAAGGGTTCAGAAGAACACTTTGAACAGGTGCTACAGTTTTTCTTGAAGAACATGGACACGATTCTCAGCACGTGAGTTATAAATATTCGTAGCTATTTAAAACTAATGTACTCAAATAATGCAGTGTCTCTTGCCCTTGAAATCATTAAAAACACAAATGTTTAGCCTTAGTAATGTTAGAATTTTTCTATAAGGGATTTCATTGATTTTAATATCAGATAACATATCTCCATGGCCTCTTTCGGTTTAAGTTTTTAGGCAATACATTTACGAATTTTAAACCAACCGAGGATCGAACCCGGGACGCGTCTGTTGTGGAGCGCCTACTTTAACGCCGAGCTAAGAAGGATATTAACTCAAATAGGTAACGATATGAAGAATACAGCGGTCCTTGTAAGGTGTACCGCGCGGGGCTCTATAGGGTGTGCCCCTGCCGGTTACGGGGGGCGAAGTGCTTATAAAGTGTGCTTCGCCCCCCGCGGGGTCCATAGGATTGTGTGCAGGCACACCCGTTAAACTGATAAAAGGCGATCACTGCATCCGTTCAGATAATCGTGTTTCCCGGAAATAATAATTAGAAAACTGATTAGTCAACGTCCTGTAACAAGCGCGACAAGTCCGGTCGCTCTGTTAACGCAGTCTTTGATCAGTTGTGTTTGCGTTCGTATCCGGTCGAACTATTTGGTCAATTTCCCCTTACAAGGTATTATAAAAGAAACCGCGGCCGCGCGGGAAATGTGAGTAATTTTATTTAAATCAATTAATGATGCTGATTGTGTAAATGTTTAAAATATTAGGAAAGATGGATTTAAAAGTGCTCAGCCGGTGCCAGTAAGACTATCGTAAAGCTGAATGAACTGAACGTGAGCCGCCCCCATAATAATAAACATTATTTTCTTAGAAATCGATATTAACAACCTTGAACTCGGTAATGGCTCATCTTACATTAAATTGCCAAAAAAAAATGCCTACAATAGTACCGAAAATAGGTGCTCTTGTGGTCAGTGCTCTTTTTCTTTTAAAAAATATTCGTCAAACTTAAAAACGTCATATCGCAAAACGCAAATAGCATGTTAATTCGAAATAAATATTTTCCGAAAGTTAGGGATTTTGATCCGGAACCGGACCGTCAATATGAAGAAATAAAGTACCATTATTGTTATATTAAAAGTTTATCTCGATTAGTATCGTCGGAGCTGAGTAAACATAACGGCAAAAAATGTATTTGTAATTGGTGTTAAAGGATCATGACACGTTGTGTTCCAGTTTGAACGATTACGAAGTGTCTTTTCCCAAATATGAACGTGTGGAATTTAGAAACTTTATATATAAACAAACCACGCCTTTCGTAAACTATGCCGATTTCTAAAATCAACTCAAAGATGTAAATTTAATAATTTCAGATAAATCGCGAAAATATCAAAAGCATGAGGCTACCAATTTAAATTTTTGAAAATTATTCGCAGTGCTCGCAGTAATTCATATTCTTTCCCATTTTATCATTAGGACCTTGGGTAAACGAGGATCTTTAATTTGAGTGTCGGTCAACAAAGAAATATTTATATCTTTTACGTATTGCGAGCCCGAATACAAGTCAAAATTGGACACCTCTCTAGACAGTTTGGTAAACAGCGTCGACCAAAATGAACTCTACGTGTTGAAAAAAGAGTTTTACCACCTCAACTAATCAAAACTATTTTTTTTTTGTCACAAAAGGAGGTATTTTGTTATGACTATATGAATGATTACGAAAAACGAAACGGAACAAGTTTACCACCCATCGATGCCTTTTACAATAAACCGGCATTAGTGAAGAAAAGTACGCCCCAGCACAAAAAGTTTGGAACACTTATGAAATTCAAAATTTAATCGTATATTCAGATTTATATTTAAAAACCGATAAAATTGTAGGGCGGCGCATATTTTGGATATTACATGGTATTTCAGCATGCCCGGTATGCTTACATTCACTAAATGATGGTTAGAATTGTTGCATGACATTGACCTGAAAGTGTTTATCAAACAGGGTACACGGGGTGGGATTTCTTTGTGCATTGGTAGGTACTTTGAGGCAAATAACAAGTACATGTTCGGTTACGATCCATTAAAAGGATTAAATTGTATCACTTTTTTAGACCTTAATAGTCTCTACGGCAAGGCCATGTCGGAGCCTCTGTTCTACGGCGGATTCAAATGGCTAAGTGTGTAAGAAATCGCTTCACTTGACGTTGATATGGTTTCAGACAATTCCCCCGTAGTACATTTTGGAGGTCGATCTGCAGTACCCTCAGAATTTGCACAACTTGCATAAAGATTTTGCATTTTGTGACGAGCATCGCGTGTCTCCCAATGAAAAATATCTAAAGCTAATAACCACCCTTTATAACAAAAGTAATTACGTTATACAGTATCGTACTATAAAGCAAGCTTCAAAGCACGGTCTGGTCTTCACAGAAATACACAAAGTATTAAAATTTTACAATCTCGTTAGCTAAAAGAATATATTGATCTCAATAGTCGCTATGAATCCAAGCCGTTATAATTTTTGGCAAAAATCTACTTAAATTATTTAACAACGCGGCTTTCGGAAAAACATAAGCAAGCATCGCATCGCAAAGTTTGTTAGAGCGTGGGAGGGTAGTTACGGCGCTAAAAATTTTATTTCCAGCCCCCGATTTCACAATAGAACTATACTAGCAGAAGATTTAATGTTGGTTGAATTGAAAAAACCCGATTTTTTGTTTAACAATCCTCTTCACATCGGAATGTCAATATTGGATCTATCACGTATTCGTTTCATTACGATTACGTGTTACTTAAATTAGACTCGGAAAAATGTATAATTCAATATATAAACAAGTAAGTAGAGCATAACATTGTTAAAAATAAAATAACGTATGAAGATTTCGTAGATTGATTAAAAAAATTAAAAAACAAACACGCTAATCAACAAACTTTTTGTGCCTTTAACAACAAAGTATTTAGTGTGGAACAAAATTATCGTCATAGGGCACTAAGCCTCTATGACGATAAAAGATATCTCATACCAAACACGTCACTCTTCTTTGGGGACATTACAACATACTGTACCGATCTATGTATAAAGTCAATTTGTGAGAGATTTTGCTTGCAACGTCCTTATGGTGATATAGGCATTTTAACACACCTCAATTTTTAAAGTTTTTATTTGGTTTCGCTTATCGGTCCATGTGAGCGAGATCCGGTTGCCATAAATCGTCTATGCCTTTTATGACGGTTTTGCGACGAAGGTAATTTCTGCGTGCCCGTTTGTGCAGTTCTCGCACGAGTTGTATCTTTTCTTTACTACTAATGCGTCTATTTGATGAGGTACTATTGTTAATCGGTTCGACTGCTGCGGCGAAGGATTGAGAATTTTCTTTTCCAACACTTTGGTTGGATATCGAGGCTAAAACCGGATTTCCCGCAAATACGCGTGCCTCTTGCGTCATCATTCATAATTGCATCGTAGAACACCTGCCGCTTAACGAAATTCTTAGAACGTTGTCGTAACAAATAGAAGTTTAAAGCATTTTTACCAATTGCTCAGTTGAACGGGTACGATGGGGTTCATGGCGTTGGATATACAAGGCTATTCGTTGCAAGACGCGGGAGGATTCGCCGCCAAAGAAATAGCAATAGCAATATACGATGGAAATTTTTTGAATTTGTAGCGCTGGCTCATGCAGATATCCGATGCGTGCGCTGGTTAGAACGCTATCATCACGGATTTTTTTTGCAATTGTGGTGTTTTATTTCAAACAGGTACGAAAAAAAAGACGCATTTCATCAGGCTAAACTTTGGTATTTTACTTTCCTCGATCGAGATGAGAGCCCACCTCTTTCTCTGTTACCCTCTTATTCCTGTTGACATTTTGTCAACGGCATCGCCCACCGAGCAAGGATTGATTGATTATTTTCAAAAATACGGATTCCTGTCTAGCGACGATACCGAATCTCTAACACAGATCGACGCATCCAATTTGGAGAGCGCGTTAATTGATTTTCAGAAATTGTACTATTTGCTCACGGACGGTACCCTTAACGAAGAGATTATCGAACTGATAAATAAATCTCGATGCGGAATAATAGAAAATACCTTCAGGGGTGATGCGGCATGGAACAAAACGGTTTTAAAATGCAGTACGTACGGTTATCAGGGGCGAAAGCGGTGGCCAGTAGAGTTTTCAGCGTTTGGAGGGATGCGTCGAATTTAGAATTTTCCTTCGATCACTTGAATCCAGATATCATGATTTTACTTGCTGACAAATTGAACATTTACAAACAAAGCGGTGCGGATGTGGGTGAAACGGATCCTGTCCTTTTGCTTTCGACAGAAGGGGCAACGTGTTGGAACACACATTTTATACCAATCAACAAAAAAATTGCGTGGAAATTCATTTGGATAGTACCATTGATGTTATGTTTCCGTGGTGTACCTGTGATGCAGTGTCATTATCTCCAGACGATATTGCTGATCTTTAGAGTTTACATGTTAAAAAAACAACAACAACAACAAAACCATCTGAGAAAAGCGAAACAAAAAAGCTCCAGATATCTGTAACGCAAATCCTGACACATTTTTGGCCACGTCGATCCACCACATGTACCCGTTTCACGACCAATGGGTTTGGGTGATGAGATTCGGCGACAAAATCTATACGGAGCCTAAACTGGTATCGCGCATCTACCAAAGACCCGTCGGAAATTCGTTTTATCTAATCGACTTTCCAATTTCTAAGATACAAAGCGGTCGACAAATCCTCCAGCAACTGGGTATTCCCGCGGGTAAAACAGTTAACGCAATTTGCTCTTTGATCACAACGGCTCGGTTTCATTAGCGAACTCTTTCCGGTGCTACCGGAAAAGCTGTCTGGAGTGTTTCAATTCACCAACAAACAATACAGCGAATTTTTGAATAAACCAACAAAAGTCGGAGACAGGCTTGAATCTTGTCGGGATCAATTGTCCCACCGTGAGCGTTTTTAAGCAGAATAGAGATTTGCTAACGAAATTAACGACCTTTAGCACCTGTTCGTGGCAGGACACCTGGACGTCGATGGATTTGGCGACCTAGGACGGGAACCTGTTTGAGATGAAATTACAAAATGGTTCGATGCCCCGAACTTATAAAGTTCGTCTGGTGTTCTCCGATGGCAGCTACGGTGATCAAGCGGAATGACAAAGCATACCCTTGACCTCAAACACCTAAGACTACGACGAAGACGAACAAATAATTTTCTTTTTGTTGTGTCGTTCGTTACTTTTATTAAAAGTGTTTGGTCAAGATGACTAAATGTCAATATGGAGCTCAATTTCTAAGATAGAAGGGGAGATAAGGTGTATATATATATTGTACTTTAGGTGAAACTGCACAAGTGCGTCGATTGAATCACAGCGATTATCACAGGAGAATTACCCTTAAGCCGATTCCGGATATAACCGTAACAATAGACGAAAATATATTTATCGAGGTGGATCGCATTCGAGTATGGTTATTTGTGAATGATCAGCGACTGAACTTTACCCACGAAGAAATGGAACCACGTCATCGTCCCCATAGGAGATTGCATTAAGTCGACTTATTGGCACAAGGAACAGAAAAAAAAACAGTCCATCCATCAAAGTATACCTGTACCGCGAGGACATTGAAAAGGTCCTGTCTCATAAGTTCGATTTGTTCAATGCTTTAAATTCCGCTACGTGCATCTCAGTCAATAAAAAATTATTATACTTATTATCGCTTATTTATAGTCCCCCCCCCCCAGTATATATGCGCGGATACCGATAAAGGCGAGGGCACCTCTTATCGCTTTAACGGATGTGCCTACAGATGATACCTCCTCGCCCATTATGCTCGCCTAATAGCGTAAGCGGCGTTCGTGTCCCTATTGGCCTCGCTCTCGGGGTGAAACGTGACGTACGAAATGGCGCTACCCCTGCAGGTGGCGTGAAGCACCGGGGGCCCAGCGCGTACTACGGTTATGTGTCACCATCCTCTGGGCCACGCGGGGGGCGAAACACACCCTATAAGCACTACGTTTCCCAGTAAAGCAGCAGGTGCACACCCTATAACTAATGTGCCTTTACCTATTTCATTTAATATCTTCCTTAGCTCGGCGTTAAAGTCGACTCTCGAAAACGGACGGGTCCGGGGTTTGAGCCTCCGTAGCAAAAAAAAAAAAGATGAGTCATCAGTATCAACGCACGTGACGTCATTATTCTCCGTATCTAAAACATAATTACCCATTGCTTTTCACATATAGACTGTCAGTATCAACGCACGTGACATCATTATTCTCCATATCTCACACATAATTACCCATTGCTTTTCATATACCCGTTAGCTCGGCGTTAAAATTAGCTCTCAACACCTGATGGATCCCGGGTTCGATCCTAGGTAGCGAAAAAAAAAAGGTGAGTTATCAATATCAGTGCACGTGACGTCATTATTTTTCACATATAACCATCGTTACATATTTGATTTGATACACTCGTAAACTCGCCGTTCAAGTCGATGCTCAACAACGGATGGGTCCTGGGTTCGATCCTCGGTTGGGAAAAAACCGGTGAGTCATCACGGTTTTTTGAGATTATGTTCTGAACGTCTAACATGGGGCCCCACTTCGGGGGCGAAGCACCCCCAAGAAGGATCGGGGCACCCGTGGCAGGGGGGCGAGGGAGGCGATTGTATTTTGAGGTTATGTGTTGTTTAACTGTTTTTATGCACCTACTGTCGAGTTCTGGAACTCTGAATGATCTTTTGTAAGTTGTCCTTCAAATCTTTTTTATGGTTGCCAATTCGTTTTAATTGGTTCGCCGATTTTCCTTGATAATCCATTTTAAGATGGTGTTGGAATAAAGCGGGCTACTTCAGTTTTGGTGTTTTGAGTCACAGATCCTATTCTTCTGTACAATTTAATAATATTTCTAACTGTATACTCTAATTTTGTTAACATTTACCGACTTGGGAACTATTTTGGCTTTTTAAATGCAACCGAATGACCACTTTCCTTATTTCGTCGGAAACAGTTTCACCGCGAGCCATTTTCAATTATTTATATTACCAGCAATGCATTGAACATTGATTTAAACCTGAAAATTTACTTGCTGCCAAGGGAAAATGTTATCCTTGGCTCCTCAGGCCTCACTTGACTTGAGTTCTTGTAACTTTTTTCTTTAGGATAAAGTTATTTATTGCATTTTTTAAAACCGTCGCTTTACTTAATTTACAGATCTAGTATTTCGTGTGGAGCTATTTAGAATTAAGATGTAGTCCGATCATACCAAATTCCGGAATTTGTGTATTTCTTTAATGCTATTTACAAATCTTCGGGATTCCTCCTTCGTTGGTTGTTGATGAATCGAATTTAATGACGACCAGAGTCCCGCTTAAGATTGTA